TGCCCAGTGAGGAGAAATTCCCTAGCAATGAGAGAACTGCAAGTGATAGTGTCAAACCTAAAAAACAAATAATCGAGAAAAGTCAGAAAGATTTGGATATTCAACGGTTTCTGCATTTGTTTGTGAGTCTTTTTTGTGCTCCTCTTACGGATTTTAGGTCGTTTTCGTAACATCTCTACGGTACGTTACACTCGTGCTTCTATTGGCTAGCGCTTGGATACATTGTACGTGATAGGCAAAGGAGCAGTACATCTCTTAGTGGTTGACCAATCACAACAGAGCCGGCTTGCTAACCAATCACAGTAGAGGCAAAACATATAAATATGAAACCTGAAAAGGATCATAATCATAATAAGACCCATTTAAGGCTCCACCTTCAAAATGTTCTTGTCAAAACTTAACAAGTTAACACTATTCTGTTAAAAACTGATTAGTGTTAACTTTTATCCACTGACAAATCTCTGAGAACCAGACACAATTCGAACATTTGTACCATTTGAACACACTCTTGAGTTGAAGTCTATTTGATGAGACATATCAATGCAAACAGCATTTAGACAGTAACCCCCCCCAGCTTTAGTCAAATATGCTTTCATCCCAGTGTTTTCATCGCCTGTCACACTGCGGCAGATGTTAGCGATGTGGCGCGGTCCAGATGGAGAGACTGAGAATGATGAGGGGAGAGATGAGGCTACAGCTGTTGTTGGGTAGGAGAAGAGAAAAGAGGTAACAAGATGAGAGGAAGAGGAGGAGGTGTAGGCAGGAGCATGACAAGTGTCCTGGCGATGGTTCAGTTCAGAGTGTGTTGCTGCTGGCTGAAGTGTGGAGGAATGACAAGCATTTGGGACATTTTCCAGATCTCTGGTTTACTGGAGTCAACCGCTGTGAGCTGGCGAGGGAGAGAAAGAGCAGAGAGGGCGTCTGAAATAGAGACCGAAAGAGAACAACACAAAGAAAACGACAGAAGGAGAAGGAGAGGAGGAAGAATGGAGAAAAAATAGAAGCACAAACCCCCTCTAACGTGTGTTAATACATCCTAGTCATTGTAGTACTCTAAAAAGAGAACATGCTTTAAAAAATATTGATAGTACACTGAACAATTATTTTACAATTATATGTTAATAATACAAATGTTACTCAAACTTTATCGCCTGGTTCAAAAAATCAATACACAATAAATAAGATCATTTAAATTAATTTCCTAGCTTTGCAGACGACCAATGACTTCACACTGGAAAAGGTTGAGCTACACAAAGCTATCGTCAAGAGAAATCCAATGTCATTTGTCTGAAGCGGTTTGAACTACTTTGTAAAAAAAGATCAAACAAACAACCATGTGATCCTCAATTATATAATAATCGAATACAAAAAAAGTCCCATGCTAGCAAAAAATGTCCACTAAATCGAATGTATTTAGCCTGTTGTCTTACTCTTCAGTTGGGTAACATTTGTCTTGCAGGCAACATGTACTAAACAAAGGTGAAAGGGGAGGGGAGCGAAAAGGAGGCCATACTGTCGTTCAAAGTTGAGAAGCAATGTTAAAAAAATGTTTTGGTCCAAAGTAAAAGTTTGTCAGTAGTAGTTTCAGTAGTTTCACTTGAATCCCTGTTAAAATATGAATGAGGTAGAAAAGCAAGCTACTGCAACATGTCATTCTGACTTCCGCCCTACACTGTATTTCAATTATAAAAAAGGGGGCGGCAATTGAAACTCAGATATGTATCGCTATGTTGCAGTTCTCCAACAACATGTGTTCTTATGTATATTGCTTTAAGCTACATATTAATGACACATTATACCGGGCCTTTCAAAAAACAAGCTTAAATTAATAAAACTTGGATCAAAGTTCATTGTTAAACCTGAAATGAATCTAAATCTAGCAAATGAGCTCTGCAAACAAAACTGAAATAATAACAAATATATTATAACCTTGTATTCCAGTGTATGTTTAGATGATAAATGGGTGTACCTTCCCAGTTTGTTCCTTTTCTTTTCCCCTTTATCTCTGACACACACACACACACACACACACACACACACACACACACACACACACGCACACCAGGATACAGCGTAGGGTGGAGCAGGTCACGGCTATAGTCATTGTTGTTCTGTCCGACAGACTTCCTGTTATAAGTAGCTATGACGCCCATCGCCACAACACAGCTGCGTCCACACACACACACACACACACATTGGGTTTATAACACACACACACACACACACACACACACACACACACACACACACACACACACACACACACACACTGCTCATTCATATTTAATCATGCACACAGATTTATATCTGTAGAACACTTATTTTTCACATAGATCCAGACATGCGTAAATACATTCTGAGCCGCTGCCTGCAGAGGCTCAGAAACACGTTTTAGTTCAACCACTTCCAGACGATCTGCAACAGAAAACTCTGTCAATTTCACATCTGAGGCCTTGACATTTTCTAATGCAAGGGAATATGATTTGAATGACAGGCACATTAACACCTTCAGTTTGGACTCAATTTGTTCTTTGTCTTCATTTGAGCTTTTTTTCATAATCCAAGAATCATCATAGTGAAAACTCAATGTGATTATTAAAAGGTGTGCTGTATTCCGAGATATCCATCCCTGTGTTGCTTAATTTTTGTGACTTACTCATAAACAATATTTAAATGTAACCTGCTGAAATGTAATTACACTGTTCAGGTCTTATTCCTGCACTGCTAGATTGTAAACTTGCTATTTATAGGAGGTCCTAGAATTGATTTATTAGAAGGTAAAAGAAGATGGTATCAAAAATATATGTTTTGAAATGTATATTGAAAATGGGGGGACAACCATTTCTTGTTCAGACATTTTAATTGCACTAGTATTAGCTTCAGTAGTGCGAATAGTTTGTTAATATTAGCTGCTGAACTCCCATGACTGTTGTAGCTGCTTCTTCCAGACCATAGTGGTATTTCAGTGAAACCAGAAACCTACATTCCCCCCCCCCCTCCCTCACTTTAACTGCACCCCTTCCAGTATTGTCAGACCAGCTATTTCCCTCCAAGCGATGGATTTACCAAAATCTGGTGTGTGTGTGTGTGTGTGTGTGTGTGTGTGTGTGTGTGTGTGTGTGTGTGTGTGTGTGTGTGTGTGTGTGTGTGTGTGTGTGTGTGTGTGTGTGTGTGTGTGTGTGTGTGTACGTACGTACTACTACGTAGTATACACTACTAGTATACGTAGTAGTACTACTACTTGTGGTGGTGTCTTGTTAGTAGACGTACGTGTGTGTGTGTGTGTGTGTGTGTGTGTGTGTGTGTGTGTGTGTGTGTGTGTGTGTGTGTGTGTGTGTGTGTGTGTGTGTGTGTGTGTGTGACCAGGCCTAATTCTCCCTCTGTGGGTCCTAAATGTCAGGACTTCTTAAACGTTATCATGACCACCACAGATGAACTGGTGGAATTTCGTGACATTTTTCAAGTTGTTTTTATGGATTCGGCAGAAGATTGCATATAGTAGCATGGTTTACAAGAATTTAGCAGAATGTATTTTTTCTCACACATTTATTACTTAAGCCGTTTTGTTTGATGCTATTTTTGTATAAAATAAAACCATCAGGAAGAATATTTTATATTTCAAGCACGTGATAATTAAATAGTCAAAATAAGAAAACTTTATTTGAAGTAATGCCGTTTTGCAATGGGATATGTTCAGTTTAGTGTTTCCTTATATTTCATAATTCCTTAATTGATCGCTCAAACTTTAAAGAGGCCCTTATTTCATGTTGGGCTTCCCCTTTCCTGTAGTGTGTTATATAGGTGTGTGTGTTTGTAAATGATCTGCAAAGGCTAAAATCCCAAAGTTCCCCCCCTAACCCACACACTCCCCCCTGCCTGAAATGCATCCATTGGACTCCTTTGTTTACTGACATAGTGACATCACTATGTAACACTCCCAATTCTGGGAGAAAAGAGGTTCACCAGCACAGGCAGTTTGAGAATATGAAAGAGCTTTTTGAACATTAAAGCATGTAAACATTTCCCAGTAGAGGTACTAAATACAAATATGAAACCTGAAAAGGGAGCCCAACCCCAAATGGGACCCTGGCCCTTACTATGAGCCCCTCTGCTGTACGTGTATTGCATACAGTAGTGGTCCAGATTCACTGTGACAGAGGAGCTGCATTGGCTGTTTCTCCCTCTTTTCTGGGGCCGGGGAAGTCAGGTCTGGTTGTCTTTAGTGTCGGGCGGCTGCCTCTATTGTCATCACAAGATGGCTCCAGCCCTCCACTGTGACGCGTGTGTGTGAGTAATGTGTCCAGACAGGCCCGGTTGTGTGTGCATTTGCTATAAATGTGTGTGCTTGTGTGTGAATGTATGAAGCTTTTGTGCACCCATGCAAGTGTGTTAGTGTACTCCACCATGTGTGTGTGTTGTCGACTCAGCCTTTTCCAGCCAGCCCCTTCCTCGCCTTACTCTCTAATCCCCATAATCCTCTGCTCCCCTCCTCCTTTTTCCTCCTCCCTGCACCCTCGTTTCTCTTGTCCCCTTCCTGTCTCCCACTCCTCTCTTCTCGCTCCACATCCCTCAGTCCGTCTCCTAATAGCCACTTGGCTCTATAAATAGGTTCATAATGTGGTCAAATTGACTTCCATTTGTTGTTACACAGATTGAATCTCCAATGTCATTTTGGAAACCATCTTTCAAGTTAAATGTTTCAACCAAGGCTTTATATTTTTGCTTACATGTTCAATACATTATTTAATTTCTATCTGTTTATTATAACTATTTATTTTATAGAAAATGATCAATATAACGTAATTAGATACTTTAAATAAGGAAAAGACATTTGAAAGTAATATGGTTTTGTATAGTGTATGTTGGGGCTTATGGATTCAGTTTAGTGTTTTGTCTATGTGCTTAGGTTGAGTTTGATTTGTTAGATTGCAGACCTTATTTTCTTTCTAATAAGTCATTTCATTTTAATGAATGTACCTTTGTGTTCGTTCCTCCTCCAGGCGGTGGAGAGAGAGCAGGTGGACAGCATTCAACACAAGCTGCAGCACATCAACGCCGTGGGTCAGGGTCTGATCCAGAGCGCCGGCAAACACACCGACACCCAGGCCCTGGAGCACGACCTGGAGAACACCAACCTCCAATGGAACTCACTCAACAAGCGGGTACGCCTTCTTTTCAAATGCAACTAGACAGTTACCAATGACTGCTTGTGTCTTTTATCAACAATGTTTCCATTGATCTTGATTCAATACGTCACGAGGTCAAAGAAAGATGTGAAGGAGAGTTCTACGGACTTAGGAAAAACATTTATGTTCCTAAGAGAATCCAACTGCACTAACACCAGGCTACATAATGATGTGACATAGTTATGCTGCGTTCCAGACAACTCACAAAATTACTAGAACATTTGTATTGAAACGCCCCTTGAATCAATTCACCCCGCCTCCATATTTTCTAGTTGTCTTACGGCAAACAACAATGAAGGCGAACATTGTAAATGGTAAACCCTAGACTAAAAAGCAACCTACAGTGTATTTTCATGTATTTCAGTCAAATCAATCAAACTATAATTTGGTAAAACCTGTTCTGAATGTAAATTGATGTCAAGACAGGTCATCAATGTAATTAGGTAGAGGGCTAAAGTAAAATATCTCAAAAAGTTACCTTCTCCACCAAAAGGTTTTGTGAAAAACATTTAAAAAATGCCAAAGAAAACAGGAACACTTGCCAAGACAATGTTGCCGTTGAAGGACCACTACTGTAAAACCAAGCTTTAAATATGAAATAAAAAAAGCCGTCTGTCACAAAAGTCAAAGGATAAGTCCCATTGAGGACCCTCCTGTCCACTCATATCCAGCCACATGATGTCCCATTGAGGACCCTCCTGTCCACTCATATCCAGCCACATGATGTCCCATTAGTGTGTTTGTATGTAAATATGAAATTATCTTTCAGTGCTTTTTGACTTTCTTTTTTTAACTCACGACCGTCTCTCCTGTCATCAGGTGGCAGAGCGGATCGCCCAGCTGCAGGAGGCCCTGTTGCATTGTGGGAAATTCCAGGATGCTCTGGAGCCTCTGCTCAGCTGGCTGAGCGACACAGAGGAACTGGTGGCCAATCAGAAGCCCCCGTCAGCAGAATACCGCGTGGTCAAGGCTCAGATCCAAGAGCAAAAGGTACAAGATACGAGGAGAGGAACCTTTTCTTTAAAAAAAGGAAAAAGTTATAAGAAATGTTGAAAAAATCTAACATTTCAGAAATCAAAGCATTCATTTTATTTTTTTAAAACATTGCTGATACTCGGATGCCCTCAGTGTCCTTCAATAACAAACAATAGGTATTTGAATGACAAAACACACGCACACATACGTACACACACACACACACACACACACACACACACACACACACACACACACACACACACACACACACACACACACACACACACACACACACACACACACACACACACACACACACACACACACACACACACACACACACAGCGTCAATGATCCATCTGCCTGGCATCCAAATGGCCCCAGTTGACCGTTTGCCAGTCAGACTGGCATGAAAACAGAGACACACACATGCATGGTGGATTAGCATTGTTTACAGTGACACACACTCATTTCCCTGTTTATCCGGCATTGACTTCCTGTGTTTGTGCACATGACTGTGCAGCAGTCCTGACCGGCGATCAATCACACGTGTTTACATCCGTAACAAAGAGTGGTGTCACTGTTTGGCTGAGAGAGTGTAAAGGAGTGCATTCCTGTTGGTTCAAAGAGAGGCTGCTATCAGGAAGGAAGGATGTCCATTAATGTATGTTGTGTTCTGATCTGAACTGTTTCATCCCTTGTTGAGTGAATTACATTTTGTTCTCTGTCTACCATATACGAAGTAGCACCCCCCTTGTTAAAGGTTTAAAAACAGATTAAGATGCTGAAAGATCTGGTCCCATGGTCAAACCTAATTCAGAAAGTGCTGTTATGAAAACCCTCTTTGGTCTTTATTTCCTCCAATACCGGTGTGTTTCTCCTCCTCCAGCTGCTCCAGAGACTGTTAGATGACCGCCGGCCGACAGTGGAGATGATCCGCGCTGAGGGAGAGAGGATCGCAGCCACAGCCGACACTCAGGACCGGGAGAAGATCCAGAGCCAGCTCCAGAGTCTGGCAGAGAGATGGACCGAGCTGCTGGACAAGGCCAGCGGCAGGTGAGTCTACTGAGTGCGGAGGGGGGGGGGGGGCAGGAGAGGGGGGTCTCTGACTCTACCAAGAGTATAATAATAGTATGAGTGATGCCTCATCTTTATCTGCATCGCTGCTAAAGTACCACATTCAAACATCAAGACATTAAAAGAAAACAAGCTTTAAAATGTTGTGTACAGCCTGACACAAGACCGTCAGTTCCGTCTATTTTATCTCTGAAAAGGCAACATAGATAATATCATAGAAAGCCAAATAACACCGATTGATCTTGCTGTAAATGTGTGGTTTTGGAAAGTAATTGATGGTGTTACTCAACGGCATGTTATCTTGTGGTTTTATCATGTTATCTTGTTTCATCTGTGTGTGGCTCGGTTGAGCGCTACTGCACTTAACAAAAAGAAAGTGTCATTACTTTCAGCCTCTGTGGTCTGCGAGTAATTTAAGCAGCACTCCTTGTTCACTTGGGAAATAAATGAGTACACCCTCGCAAAGCACACTGAAGAGGTTTGTATGGATGATCTCATGTAAAGTAATGTCATAATAAACATTACAATGTGCTTAACAACATGCAAACATCCTGTAAGGCATGATGTAAAAATGTCTGCCATGTCTCTGGAATATATTGCACTTTCTAGTATGAACACAAACAACAAATATTGAGTCAATACAATCTCACACGCACACACTACTGTTTTTTTTATAAGCAAAGAGTGAGATGCTAACACACACACACACACACACAATAAGGCAGACAAATGTGTTTTCTCACCACTCTCTTGCGACAATAATACATTTATCTGTTTAGGAAATTCTTTAAAATGTGATACTATATCATAAAGATTTCATGAACATTTAATAAACTGTGTTTGTTAAAAAAGACGGCAGCTGTGTGGCACAAATTCAGGTCCATGTTGAGCAAAAAAATAAATAAATAAAGCACCAATAAAACCTCCTTATCATCCTCTCTTTCCCCTCCGTTTTGTCTTGCAGGCAGAGGCAGCTGGAGGAGCTGCAGGTTTTGGCTCTTCAGTTCCACGAGGCCCTGGAGCCTCTGGGAGAGTGGCTGAGTGCCACAGAGAGGCGCCTGGGCTCCGCCGAGCCAATGGGAACCCAGACGGCCAAGATCACCCAGCAGATCGTCAAGCACAAGGTACCGTTTGGCCCCCATTGTCTCAAAGGCCCTCGCCTCATGAAGAGGTCACAAAGGTCCACTTTTATCTGGGTCAGTGAGCAGGACGCTGGATACCTGCCGGTTTTTGGATAGTTTAATCTAAATAACAAAATCATATCTAAATGTACACAGTCCTCTAATCCTAATTCTTTTGAAAAAGGTGAGTTGAATTGAATTAGTGAAAGTTGTGTCTTCATAGAGAACTTTACTAAATCAAGATATGTTGATAAAAGCAATCGATCTAAGGATCATAGATTCAAACTAATAGGTCTAATATCTCACAGTAAAGAGCTTTACATTAAACAATACTTAGTAAATATCAACTTTACTAAAGTGAGGAAAATACCGGGAATCTTGAGATACAGTATGTAGTCTGAGACAAAAGCAATCGTTCACAGGATCATAGATTAAGACTCTCTGATCGATCACAGTTAAAGAATATGAGAATACTTATGTGAACAAGTAAATAAAAAAAAATTCCTTAGCTTTTTAAACATTTTGTACATGTGATACATTTAAACTACATTACCCACATTTATAATTGTAGGCAATCCATGTATGTGTAACCTAAAACATGTTATTTTTCATCTAATTCCATATTTTAAACAATATTACAGACCATAAAAGTACAATTCTTTGCAAGTAGTGTATCATATTTTACACACTATTTAATGATTTCATGCAAGCACATGTATTACCTTTTGAAATATAGTTGGTACTCCAGTTATGCAGCCCGCCTTTTGCACGGACAAATAACATAGAGAGCACATACAGTGCTCCATCTCCATAATACCCTTAATCTAAGCTACTGTAATTCAATGGAAACATGCTGGAAGAGGAAGCACGAGGCACAAAGCAATCATTCACAACCCCAACATGCATGCTACGGTTTTTTTTCATTCCAGTTGTTTGTAAGTCTTGGTTTTATTTTATGTTTTATTTCGAAATGTGTTATTATTACAAATGGAAAACAAATGGATATACTAGCAATGAGAAAATAATTTGAAAAACACATATGGTACACATTCAAAGCCAGGAATAATAGAAGAAAAAGAGTAGTAGTGTCTTGTATTGAAGACAGTAACTCAGCCTTATCTTCATCTCAGTGGATTTATAGTATTTTTAAAATATTTTTACAAGGGATAGCCATAACAAGGACATAATTGAACTGTAAACATCCAGAGAGGGAACGTTTTATGAGGGAAATAATACATTAAAAAAATGCTGGTAGTAGTCTGCCGCACACAGTGCCAGACATGTTAGACAGAGATATTATAAGTCAAGAGAGAACAGCAAGGAAAAAAAGATTTTGTAAAACTATGTTAACTAAATGAGGAAGCAGATGTTTATCATAAAGCACCCATTTTTGTTTTGTTTTTAAGTTGATCTCATTCATTTATTCTTTGATGTTTATGCTTTCCTGTCAATCTATGATTTGTCATTTGAATGCTCACATTTTAAGTTTTGATCCATCTTTTTGTTCTGTTGTTTTGCTGTCCTTTTCTCACTTCCCTTCACCCTGCCCTCAAACACACACACACACACACACACACACACACACACACACACACACACACACACACACACACACACACACACACCCACACAC